GGTCTCGAACTCACAACGACCCTCCTGCCTCAGCCTCCCGAGTGCTGGGATTACAGGCTTGATGCCACCATTCCCGGCACATTTTCTGAGACTAGGCTGGCGTTGTCGGCCGCCTTACCTTAGGGGTACACCAACCTGGCACGGTGCTGCCTCCTGGGAGTCACCCCACAGTCGTCCCCTCTTCCTTAGGGACATCAGACCGCAGCCACTCCTCCTGAGAGCGCCCTCGTGCCAGCGCCCAGACCAGCCGCACCTTGGTCCTTCCTGGCATAATCGCCTCCACCTGACGAACCCGCGTAACCCTGTGCTCGGGCTGGAGCCAAGGCCTTTGCACTGAACTCCATCCCTAGATTTTTTTACTTTTTACTTTGCGGCAAGGTCTCACTAAGTCACCAAAGTGCCCAGGTTGGACTCAAACTTGGGATCCTCCTGCTTCAGCCTTCTAGAGTGCTGGAGTTACAAGCATGCACCGCCGTGCTCGGCTTAAACCCCTACTTGTTTTGAGAGCAAGGTCTTCCCCACTTCCGGTCCGAGGCAGAGCCCGGCTAGGAAGGGCCCAGTGGTCCCCGCAGCTTCAAAGATGCCCAGAACCCCGCCTGTGCCTCCTGCACCCCAGTATGGGAGCAGGGACTGGAAGCCCAGCTCCGCCCTCGGTTGGTGGAGGATGAAAGTAGATGACAAAGGAACTTGCTTTCTCTTATGTCGCATGAGAAATCGTCTAAAGGAACTGGGCCTGGTTCTCCCGAAATAGGAGCCGCAGGAAAGGTGTGCAGCTGCCGCGACTCGCTCACCAGGCGCTGTTGCGCTGACGGCACACACTGGGGGTGGCCGGGCTGCCCTCTGACAGAGGAATGACTCAGTGCCATGAAGTTCCGAGAGCTCTACTGCGCAGGTCGTCGTGGATAGACGGGGCTCCCATGCGGGCGTGCAGGGGCACGCCTGTCATCCCAGCACTCCGGGACGCCGGGGCAGGAGGACTGTGAGTTTGAGCCTGGCCTGGGCAACATAGCAGTTTAGCGAGACCCTGTGTGAAAGTAAAAAGGGCCGGAGATGTAGCTCCGTGCAAAGGCCCTGGGTTCCATCCCCATTACCGAAAAAACAAAACTGGAAAGGGTTTGGCCGGGAGGGACCGAGAGAAGCAGGGAGGCTTCAACAGAGCCGGCAGAGTCCAGAGCCTTAGGGAAACGCTCGGGAGGCTTGCGTGGCCCCCGCACATTCCTCAGGGCCAGGAACGTCGCTGGACTGCAGCTGTGGCGCAGGGGAGAGCCCCGTCCAGCAGCAGGGGGCTCCGGGTTCCATCCCCAGCACCGTTCAGCAGTGACTGGGTTGGAACAAGACCAAAGATAACCGGGGACGGGAAAGAGGGGGCTCTGTCAAGGACAACCTTTGAGTTGTGCAGGGTGACTGATCGACAGCTGGCAGGGACAGCCCTGTGACGGTAGGTAACGGTGGTGCGCTGTGCAATTTGCTAAGTCTTACTATGTAGCCCAGGCTGGCCTTGCACTCAAAGCGATCCTCCTGCCTCAGCCTCCTGAGCGCTGGGATCACAGGCGTGCACCACCACACCTGGCCGAAAGGGTGGATCTTAAGTGAAGAAAGAAAGGTGAGAGAGGTAGAGAGCAAGGGACAAAGAACAGAAGAGAACTACATGAGGTGATGAAAATATTCTAGCTTACTTGCAACTATAAATATTCCACAATGCATGTGCTATCAAATCACCGGGTTGTAGCTTTTTTTTTTTTTTTCTTTCTTGTTTTACTGTCCTGGAGATTGAACTGCATCCCTAGCCATTTTTAATGTTTTTTATTTTGAGACAGAGTCTCACTAAGTTGTCCAGGCTCGATTCCAAATTTCCAAATTGCAACCCTACTGCCTCAGCCTCCCAGTACAGGGATTACAGGTATGAGCCACCACACTCAATTTTAATATGTCTTTATGAAAAAAAAAAACAACAAAAAATATATGTCATTGTTTCATGCACTCATCATAATTGTACACATAGTATTCATGGGCTATAGTATATGCAATGTGTAATTGGCTTATATATCCTATCAAATATTTATATTTGCTTTGTGGAAACATTCAAAATCCTTTGGTTTAGCTATTTTGGTTTGTTTTTGAGACAGGGTCTCACTATGTAGTGCAGGCTAGCCTGGGACTTGCTTACATAGCTCAGGTTGACCTGGAACTCAGGGGGCAATCCTTCCGCCTCAGCCTCCCAAGTGCTGGGATTACAGGCATGCACTACCACACCCAGCTGTTTTAGCTGTTTTGAAATATATAATTGTTAGCCACACCTGCCTGATGGCTATCAAAACTTAGAAATTTGAAGTTGTTTTGTTTTGTTTTGTTTTGACACAGGGCCTCACTATGTAGCGCAGGCTGGCCTTGAACTTGGTTATGTAGCCCAGGTTGGCCTTGATCTCATGGCAATCCTCCTGTCTCAGCCTCCTGAGGGCTGGGATTAGGGGCATGCGCCACCATTCCCAGCTTGTTTTGGTTTTTCGAGACAGGGTTTCACTATGTAGTTCAGGGTGGTCTTGATCTCACTATGTAGTCCAGGCAGCAGAGCTTGCATGGTGCGACACACCTGTAATCTCAGCGCTCTAGAAGCTAGAACAGGAGGATCACGGCAAATTCGAGGCCAACCTGGGATACACAGGAAGACCTTCTCAAAAAAAGAAAAAACCAAAATACCCACGAGGGGTCGCTGTTCGCCCTTTGGACAAAACCTCCTAAATCAGCCTGCGGGCCTTTCCAGGTTAGACTCCGTCACAAAATAACGCGGGGCAAGTCGGACCGGGGCAAGTCGGACGTCCTGCAGATAAGGTCAATCAGAGAGGATTTTTTTCTTTTTGTTTGTCTTATTTTCTTTTCATTTTTGGCCCTGGTAGGTGGAAGCCAGGGCCTCACACCCCAAGCTCCAAGAGTTTGAAATAACACAGGGAAAATACTATGCTGTCCTTAAAGATTACCCTGAGGCCTGGTGGAGTGGCACATAGCACACTTCCTGGCATTCCAGGGACTCGGGAGGCTGAGGCAGGAGGATCACTGCGAGTTTCAGGCCAGGAAGGGGTACATAGTGAGTTCAAGGCCAGCCTGGACTACATAGTGAGGCAATGTCTCAAAAAAACAGGCAGTAAGTGACACAAACGGGTGCCATGGTGCCCACCTGTAATTCCAGCACTCTGGGAGGCTGATGTCAGACAGTTGTAAGTTGGACCCAGGCTGGGCAATGTAGCAAGCCTCTGTATCTAAATAAACAAGGGTGGTGGCTGGAAATGTAGTTCAGTGCAAAGGTCCTGGGGTCAATCCCAGACAGGCAACTCTTGTGGGCCTCTTCTATCGACCCAGGTCCCGCCTGTGAGCTCCCCTCCACCCCCATGTCACCTGTCCAACCCCAACCACCCTCACCTCTCACCTAGATTTCTGCAGGCTTCCTTAAACCACTGGGTCCCAGCCAGCACTTTGCAATGTGAGGTCCCACCATCCCACGCAGGCTTGGCAAGGGCTACACCAGAGCTGGATGCCTGCCTGGCCTTGTGACCAATGGGGTTTGGGGTTTTTTTTTGGGGGGGTACTGAGGATTGAACCCAGAGCTTTCACACTGAACTACATTCCCAGCCCCCCCTTTCAGCCCCTTATTTTTTATTTGAAGCAGGGTCTCACACTAAATTCCCCAGGCTGAGCCGGGCATGGTGGTGCACACCTGTAATCCCAGCACTCAGGAGGCTGAGGCAGGAGGATCGTTGTGAGTTTGAGACCAGCCTGGGCTACAAAGTGAGCTCAAGACCAGCCTGAATTGCATAGTGAGACCCTGTCTCAAAAAGACAAAACTAAATAAATTCCCCAGGTTGGGCTCCAGTTTGAGATCCTGTCTCAGCTTCCCAGAGTGCTGGGATTACAGGTGAGTATCACTGCACCCAGCTGGTTCAGGTTTAACTAGGGCTGAGGGATTCTCAATGTTCAAATGAGGACACCCCATTTAAGAGGCTGAGGCAGGAGGATCGTTGTAAGTTCAAGACCAGGCTAGGCTACAAGGTGAGCTCAAGGACAGCCTGAACTGCACAGCGAGACCCTGTCTCAAAAAGACAAAAAAATAAAAATAAAAAATAAAAAAGCCTGGCTCTGCACTGGGTCTGTAGCCCCCGTGGCAATGCATTGAGTTCAAATCACTCACCTGCAGGTTAGATGCTGCTGCTTCAACTTTCTGCAACTTTCCGTGGTTGGCTGGAGGCCTCTTTAACAACCCTTCCCCTTAGCATCATAGGATCAGAAAGTGCACTGACGTGCTCTGGGGCAGAGCAGTGCCTGGGGTTCAGGCCTCATCAACGCACAGCCCAAAACCCAATCCAAACCAAACCAAAAACAACCACCATGATAAAACCAAGTTTCATAAGCCGGGTGTGGTGGCGCACACCTGTAATCCCAGCACTCGGGAGGCTGAGGCAGGAGGATCGTTGCAAGTTCCAGACCAGCCTAGGCTACACAGTGAGCTCAAGGCCAGCCTGAACTGCATAGCGAGACCCTGTCTCAAAAAGACCCAAAAAGAAAAAATTCAAGTTTCAGAAAAAATGGCCAGATTGCCAAGGAATTCAGAAGGTGTGTTGAGATGGTAAGCCTTAAAATGTCAGCTGTGCTGAGCCCGGCATAATGGCGCACGCCTGTCACCCAGCACTTGGGAGGCTGAGGCAGGAGGACTGACACCAGTTCCAGGCCAGCCTGGGTTAATTTTTGAGACTTTGTCTCAAAAAAATAAAACAAAACAAATTGTGTTTCGTGTATGAAACAGACCTCTGGGGGCCCTGGAGGTGACAAGGAGTTAGGTCACTGGCTTCAAAAGTGAGAGACAGATCCGTGGCTGGCCCATGGGAAAGAGGCGCCCTACATAGGAAAATGGGACAAGCTGAGATAACAAACCAGTTCCAAATCCACAACTTAAACGCAGGTGAAAAGCCTCCTGTCACTTATGTCCCCAGGGCTCCACTCTCTGCTCAGGCTGGGTAGAAGACAGTGTTAGTCTGTTCTTTATTTTCACTGGAAACTTACAGGGTTATTTATCAACAGAGCAACTGTCCCCACGGTCACTGCGGCTTTTCTGGAGGGACCCAGCCCTGGGGACCATGTTTCCTGAGGGGCCTCAGCCCGAGGCCTCACCCGGCCCCTGCCTCAGTCTGTGGGCGCTGACTGGAGAAGCAGCCTCGGGCGGCACCTGCTCGCACCCTGAGGGGGCGGCGGCTGCCGTGGCCCAGTCCCCAGCAGGGAAGGGGACCTTCTCCGCCCGCCCCCCCCGCCCCCCCAGGGCACGCTGTGGACACTCCTGGGCGGCTCGGAGGGGCTTGGGGCTTCCTGCTCTGGTCTCTCTTCTTTCTGGTTATCTCCTGCACATGGAGGTGGCCCGGCCCCCCCTGGAGGACGAGATCTGCTGTCACTTTTTTTGTCCCTGTTTTATGTATGGAAACAATGCTGTGGGTCAGACCGTCTCTCTCTTTTTTTTTTGCCCAAGAAGCATAAGTGCTTCAACAGGTACAGTTCCGTTGGTCGATCTGCTTCCGGCAGGGCTCCATGGTGACAGCAACGCCCACCCCGCTGCGGCCGGAAGTCATTCGGGTCACCTCACTCCAGGTGTCTGTGTCTGGGTCGTAGCATTCCACACTGTCCAGGAACGTGTGACCGTCATAACCTCCTGCAGGGAGAGCAGAGGGGACAGTCACTACGCGTGCCAGCTCTGAGGACAAGAAGAAGAAAGGGTAGCCAGGCGTGGGGGCACATGCCTGTCATCCCAGCACCACGGGAAGCCAAGGCAGGAGGATCCCAAATTGGAGCACAGCCTCGGCACTTAGTGAGTCCCCGTCTCAAAATTTAAAAATAATAGGGTGCTGGGGATATAGCTCAGTGGTAGAGTACCTGCCTACCATGCATAAGGCCCTGAGTCCAATCCCCAGTACCACACACATACACACACACAAAAATTTTGAAGGCCAGGCGTGGTGGCACACGCCTGTAATCCCCGCACTGAGGAGGCTGAAGCAGGAAGATTGCTGCGAGTTCAAGGCCAGCCTCAACTGCATAGTGAAATCTTGGCTCAAAAAGACAAAATAATAATAATAATAAAGGGCTGGGGTTGTAGCTCAGTGCAAAAGCCCTGAGATCAATCCCCAGCATAGAGAAACTTAAAGAGGGGGCCAGTGGGACTCCTCCCCCAACCCCTCCGCCCAGGTCTCACCCAGGACGTAGATTCTCCCCTGGTGCACGGTAATCCCCAGGGCGCTCCGCCGGTGCTTCATGGAGGCCACAAACGTCCAGGTCTCGGTCTCCACGTCGTAGCGCTCCACGCTGTTGAGCTGGTCCTGACCGTCGTAGCCGCCCGCAGCATAGATGCAGTTGTGCAGTACGCAGACTCCTGAACCGCACCACACAGACGGGGTCACTCTGGAACCAGACTCAGGGGAACCCCAGCCACCACCGCCCTCTCTCCTCTACCCGGTCCTGAGGAACCCCTGAGAAACAAAGCCAGGAGCCAGGTGTGGTGGCGCACGCCTGTGATCCCAGCTACTTGGGAGGCTGAGGCAGGAGGATCACAGGTTGGAGGCCAGCTTGGTCAACTTAACAAGATCCTGTCTCGAAATAAAAATAAAAAGAGCTGGGGCGTGTGGCAGTGGGGGGTGGCTGCCTAGCCTGCGTGAGCCCCCAGTGATCCTACCGCCCCCGCAAAAAGAGAAGGAAAGGCAGAAGAGGGAGGCGTGGAGTCGGAGCGGCAGCGTTTCTGCCTGTGCCGCAGGGCTGGGGTGGACGCAGGCGGCCCGGGTGGGGCTGACCCCGGCTCCCCCCCGCAGCCCCCACCTGCCCCGCTGCGGATGCTGTTCATGGGGGCGATCAGGCGCCACTCGTTGTGCTCCGGGTAGTAGCACTCCGCTGAGTTGAGGCGGCTCGTCCCGTCGAAGCCCCCGACCGCGTAGAGCAGGCGGTTGAGGACAGCCACGCCCACACCGATCCTCCGGGTCAGCATCGGGGACACCAAGTGCCACTCGTCCCGCTCGGGCTCATACCTGCAATGGACAGGAGGAGGACAGCGGCCCCGTCACCTCCACGGCCACGCTGACTGCGGCCCGGTCCGCTCCTAGCTCCTCCTGCACCCGACCTCTTTTATTTCTTGCTGGTCCTGGGGTGCGAACGCAGGGGTGCTCTAGCACCGAGCTCCGTCCCCGCCCTCTTTATACTTTCCATTTGGAGACAGTACATTGGGTCTCGCTAAGTGGCCCGGGAGGGACTCAAACTTGCGACCCTCCTGCCTTAGCCTCTATGAACGCTGGGACGCCAGGCGTGTGCCACCACCTCGGCCAGCTCACGCGGCAGGGACCGCCTGAACCCTGACAGCTGGTCTCCGAGGATGGAGGGGTCAGGGCTCCGTTTTCCAGAGGAGACAGGCCCGCAGCCATCAACCGTCCAAGCCAGCCCACAGCACCCACAGCCCCGCCTCAGGCAGAGCACGAGCTGTGGGACAGTCTGGGGCAGGTGACACCCTCATTGTCCCTCATGCTACAGAGGATGAGACGAAGACCCGCAAGGTGACGGGGCACATCCAGGGCCACCACAGAACCCCGGTGCGAACACCTAGGCCTCTGCCCGGGCGGCTTCCTTGCAGCGGTGACAGAGGTGGGTGACCACACGTCCCGTTGGCCCGGGCACTTCTGGTTCATACCTGTGTTCCTGGAGTTATTAATAGTGTCCCTTTCCTTCTTGAAAGTGGCCCGCTGAGGGTGACGCACCATCCCACCATCCTATTTATAGACCACACACGTTAGAAGCCTCACGCATTGGTTTGAAATCCCCATTTGCAGCTCGCGCTGAACCCAGGGATTCCATATTTCTGCCAACTCATCAGCTGGGGAGCCTGCTTTGTTTTTTGGGCGGGGAGGGGTTGGGAAAGGTTCTGGAACCCAGGGCCTTGGCACTGGGCTCCATCCCCAGTCCTTTTTATTTTTCTATTTTGAGACAGGGTCTCACTTAAGTCACTAAGTTGCCCAGGCTGAACTGGAACTTGGGAGCCTCCTGCCTCAGCCTCCCAAGTGCTGGGGTGACAGGTATGTGCCACCGTGCCAAGCTTCAAAGGAGTTATATGGGTCTGGAAAGTCCCATCAGGAAGTCCCAGCCCCAGACACATGGTCCAAGGTCACTGCCTATACGTTTCCCAGGAGTTCATAGCTTCTCTCGATTGCCCCCACTTGCTGAAGGTAGAAAGCAGACACTCCCTTAGCATTAGGGAGAAGCCAGGCATGGGAGTGCACCCCAGTAATCCCAGCACCCTGGAGGCCGAGGCAGGAGGATCTCCACGGTTAGAAGCCAGCTTAGGCTATATAGTGAGATCAAGTTCAGCCTGAACTACACAGCCAGACCCAGTCTCAAAAAACCAAAATCAGCGTCAGGGAAAATCCCCACCATCCCGGAGGGACCATGAGCCACAGCTGGAGGGAGGCAGGTTCGAGCCCTCGGGCCGCCACTTACCTCTCCACGCTGTTGTGGTGGATGCAGCCGTGCGAGCCCCCCACGGCGTAGATGTGGCCATCGATGACACCCACGCCGATGCGGTTGCGGGGCACGCTCATCGGGGCGCAGGGCGACCACTGATTGGTCATGGGGTTGTAGCAGTCCAGGGCGTTGGAGTCGGTGTTGCCTTCCGGGGAGTTGTTGCGGCCGCCCACGGCGTAGAGCAGCCCGCCCACCACGCAGCCCGCCAGCCCGCTGCGGGGCACCTGCAGGTCGGCCAGGCGCAGCCAGCTGCCGTCGCTCGGGTTGTAGGCCTCCAGGTAGCTGAGCGACTGGCGGAAGTAGCCGCCGGCCGTGTAGATGAGGCGGCCCACCTTGGGCGCGCGGCAGGGCATGGCGGGCGTGGGCTTGTGCAGCGTGAGCTCCTGGAAGATCTGCACCAGGTAGTCCTTGCAGCGCGAGTCGCTCTGCAGGATCTCGCACTTCTGCAGCTGCATCTGCAGGAAGTGCGGCGTGAGCGCGTGGCAGCGCACGGCGCGCAGCAGCGCCTGCACGTAGAAGCGCCGCTGCTCGCAGTCGTACTTGACCCAGTTGATGCACGCGTGGAACACCTCGGATTCGCAGCGCACGTTCAGGTCGTCCCGGCTGATCAGCGTCGCTAGCTGGCAGTGCGACAGGTTGAAGAACTCCTCCTGCTTGGCCACCTGCAGAGGGCGCTAGTGTGACAGGCTGATTCCCACCGGTCCCTCCCAAAGGAACAAGGTTATGCAAAAAAAAAAAGTGTTTGTGTGTGTGTGTGTGTGTGTGTGTGGTACTGGGGATGGAACCCAGGGCCTTTGCACTGAGCAACATCCCTAGTCCTTTTGACCTTTTTAAAAATAATTTCCATTTCAAGATGAGGTCTGGCTAAATTGCCCAGGCTGGCCTGGAATTTAGGATCCTCCTGCCTCAGTCTCCCCAGTGCTCAGATGACAGCCATGCACCGCCATGCCCGGCTTTATTCAATGATCTTGGACCATTTTCTACTCAACTGGCCTCTGACAGTCTGTTTCCTCATCTGTGAAATGGAGTTTCGATTAGTACGAGTCTCAAGTGGGGCGGGGTGGCACATTCCTGGCATCCCAGTACCCAGGAGGAGGCTGAGGCAGGACTGTCATGAGTTTCAGGCCAGCCTGGGGATACATAGTGAGTTCAAGGCCAGCCTTGACTGCAAAGCGAGGCCCTGTCTCAATAAATAAATAATCAATCAAATGGTCAGTCTCATAGAATGTGTGGATTAACTGAGCTAGTACTATGTGATAGGCAGGTAACACGTGTACAGGTAAATGGGCAAAGACAATACTTTCTTTTTTTCCTCTCTGCAGTGCTGGGGATGGAACCCAGAGCCTCATGTATGGTAAGAAAACACTCTACCCCTGGGCTACATCCCTAGCCCAAAGACATACAGTACTTTATATTACGCATAACTGGGCACTGAACCCAGAGCCTTCACACTAAGCTACGTCTCCAGCCCTTTTCATTTTTTATTCTGAGTAGAGGTCTCACTAAATGTCTTCCTCAGGCTGGGCTGGAATTTGTGACCCTCCTGCCTCAGCCTCCCAGAGTCCTGGGGTGACAGGCAGGTTCCCCCATACCCGGCTGTTACTGCGATCTCTTGAAATATAACTCTTGGTTATTTTCTCTTGACAATTTCCTGCACAGAGAAATGAAAATGAAAGCAGAAACCGGCATAAAGACAGTACCGCGTGCACCCGAGGAAACACTACTAAGGGTCAAACCTGGGATCCACAGCGCGTCACGGGTGCTTAATAAATATCTGCTGGCTGACTACCTGCTCAGTGGGGCTGGGGATTGGCTGGTGCCATGCTCGCCACACTGTCCCCACCTTTGACCACCGGGAATCCAGAGCACCCAGCAACCAGCAAAAACCACACCTTCATCAATCACCCCAGATTTGCTGACTAGGAGCTCAGAACCTGGGTTTTCTCCAGTTCCCTGAGATCATTGTCTTTTTTTTGAGACCTGGTCTCATTACAGTTCAGGCTGGCCTTGAGCTCACTTTGTAGCCCAGGCTGGTCTCGCAAAAAAAATTTTTTTAAATTTTTATTCTTTTGAGACAGTGTCTTGCTGTGTACTCCAGGCTGGTCTTTTTGTTTGTTTGTTTGTTTTTTTGGTTTTTCTCCGGTACCGGGAACCAAACTCACGACCTTGCACTTGCCAGGCAAGCGCTTTTGCTGCTGAGCTAAATCCCCAGACCCCAGGCTGGTCTTGAACTCACTATATAGCCCAGGATGGCCTCACACTTTCAGCAGTCCTCCTGCCTCAGCCTCCCAAGCGCTAAGATGGCACCACCATGCCCGGCCCCAGTTCCCAACCTCGAGCTTTTTTATCCTGGGGTCAGACGGTGACAACACCTATCCGGCTCCATCCCTTCTCCTGACCACTGTCCCCAAAGCCCCTCCGGGCTCACCTCCCCGAAGTGCATGTAGATGTACTCGCGGGCCCGCTGGTGCAGCTCGGCACAGCCGATCTGCTCGGCGAAGTTGGCGATGCCGATGGCATTGCTAGGGTCGAGCTGCTCCACCAGGAAGTCGCTGCAGGCGCGCACGACGCTGTCGATCTGGTACATGACGGCGCCGTTCATGACGTGCAGCACGCACTTCTCGCCCATGGAGATGGACGCGGTGTAGGCGAACTCGATGAGCCGCTCCATGACCATTGGGTGGATGCCCTCGATGGACACCACCTCCATGCCCTGCTCCCGCAGCCCGTTGGTGAACATGGCCTTGAACACGGGGCTGGACGAGGCCAGCACCACCTTGTGCGCCATGAACTGCGCCGTGGGGATGTCCTCATACTTCACCTGCAGGGTGACATCGCACAGCTGCTGGCTGAGCCGAAGTTCGTTCATGATGCCGAAGGCCTGCTTCGTGTGGTCCTCCAGCGTGTAGCTGAAAGTGCGGTTGCCGTCCTGGGACGGGGTCACCTCGGCCTTGCATTCGGTGGACGCGTACATCACCGTGTCCCCGGCCCCCTCGGGGCACTTGGACTGCAGGGGCACGAATCGGCCGCGGGCCCCCGCCCTGCTAGGCCTGGGTTCCGGCTGCATGGGGTTCCGGGTGGCAAGGAGCAAGAGCACGAGTGGCAGTCAGAGGCCTGGAGAGGGGAGAGGACAAGGGCTGGGGGAGGGCCTGGGCTGGGCCAGCACCTGCCAGGCCTCCTTTTGGAGAGACAGTGATTCCTAGCGGGTCGTGGTGCTGTGTGCCCGTAATCCCAACACTCAGGAGGCTGAGGCAGGAAGGTCGCTGCGAGTTCCAGTCCAGCCTGAACTATATAGTGAGACCCTGTCTCAAAAATAATAGACAAATAAAAAGAAAAACATTGCAACGGCACTGTGACCACGTGTAAGTCACTTTGTCGCTTGGGGGCTGTTACTTTAAATCAGGTAGTTCGGGCCTCTGAGAGGGTGTGATTGGGGCTGAAACACAGGTGAACTAGGAAAGGGGTGGGGGAGTCGTCCAGGCAGCGCAGGCAGCATGTCCAAAGGCCGATGGGCGGCAGGCAAGGGGCAGTGTGGGGATCAAGGAGTGGCGAAAGATGCAGGCATTTGTGGAGACCGCGGAGACAGCCCCGGGACACGCTGTGTGTTTTATTTTGAAAGGGGATCGAAGAGGGCCAGGATCGCAGGGGAGCCCGACGGTCCAGGCTCAACCCTGAGCCACCTCCTCCCTATTTCCATCAGGGGCTGAAATGTTCCCCTTTGTTGGTTTTCTGAGGTCCCTGTCGCCCCCGCCCGTGGGCTTCAGAGCACAGGGCGCCGCCTGCAGCTCTGCGCAGCCCCCTCTCTGCTGCGCCCCGTGCCAAGCGCCTGGCACTGCGCAGCTGTCGCCCAGTGGGTCCGCGGTGACGGCTAGCTGGGCGCCAACGTACTGTGGCTGGCAGAGCGCCCTCGCGCACGGGGCCCCGGGCGTTGCTGGGGCCTCTCTCGGCGCCGAGGTTCCGAGCTCGCAGGGTCTTTGCCCAGGGCGTCCTCGGTGCCCCAGGGCTCTGGGCGCCCCCTTCCCCGGGAGCGCCGGGGCGACTGCGCATGCGCCGCCGAGCAGCGGCCCCAAGGCCCGGAGCGGGAAGTGACCCGGTCGCAGGCCCTCGCTGCCACCCCAGCGCGCGCCAGGCTCCCGGGGGAGGCCCTGGGTCTCCGGGACGCGGAGCCATGGGCGTTCCAGGGGACTGCAGCCCGATTTCGGGGCACCTCGGGCCACCCCACGGGTGGCGCCGTCCAACGCCGAGATCGGCCCGGGCCGCGCCCTCCTCGCTGCGCTCGGGGACATCGGGGTCGCCTGGGTCGCGGCGCGTGGTTTCCCGGGGCGCCG